TGCTAATATATATATATATATATATATATATATATATATATATATATATATATATATATATATATATGTATATAATAGCAACAGCTAGCAATGATAATTCTCTAACCTACATTTTGAATATCATAATAAAATCTCTAACAGATAATAACAATGACTCATTATACCCTTTTCATTAATATTTACAGTGTTATAACCCAAGAGGATAAGTTTCAACACCCATGATTGGGTGCAATGGCTTCACCCCTTGAGTGGTGCGGAGCACCGTCAGCCCTTTTTGCACCAAGCAGTGACATTACTGTTGGGCCTTGGGGTATGGTCGGACGACACGCTCGTGTCAAACTGAGTATGATTCGGATATGTAGGTAACAATAGCCGTTCTTAATCTTCCCTTTCCATGATGATGATAGTACTGGCATTCCATAACCATAAAATTCCACCTACCTTTTCAGACTTTATTCTGTACTGCAGCTTGTTGCCCCCGGCACGCTGGGCGATGGACACAAACATGTTCCTCATGTGAGAGTCTCCCACCAGGGCAATGTGGGTCACTGCAGGCAAGTCGGTCGAGTTGGCTTGGTAGATGCTGTTCGCACCCCTCCTGGGGATTCACATAGCGTGGATTAGGACGCTTTTCTATCAGGATTCAGGGGGGTGCAGGTGTTTGGTCGCCCTTGTAGTAAAACTACGATCAACAGCTAAGGCCAAGAAGATGATATTGATTGTGATAATGATAATAATAATGATGATGGTGATGATAAAGCAGGTATAAGAGTAATAATGAAGATAGTAATCACAAAAGCAATAATGATAGCAATAACAATGAAGAAGCAAAAGAAGGGTTTTAGGAATAACAATATAATCAATAATGCAAATAATGTTAATGATGATGAGGAAGATGATAATAACAATAATGATGATGGTGATGGTGAGAAGGACGATGATAATGATTATGATGATGATAATGATGATAATAACAATAATAAAGATGATGGTGATGGTGATGATGATGATAACAATAATAATAATAATAATAAAGATAAGATAAATAAATATTATTGTAGTAGTAGTAGTAATAGTAGTAATAATAATGATTGTAATGACAATGATTATGATAATAATAATGATAACTGTGATAAAGATAATGGTGATAATGATAACAAGAATGATAATGATCATAAAAATAATGATAACAATAATAATAACCAAAATAATAGTAGATACTAATGAAAGGATATCAATGATCCTGAATTTGGCAGTATGAAAAATGTAACAAAGAAATTAAAATTGAGGTTTTATTTGGATATTGAAGTAATAGTTTGTGTTGAATCTCGCTGAAAGCCACGTACATATGAAAATTGCAAAATACATTAGTGCAACTTATGGCTTAGGAATTAGATATATGAAGGGAACAGGAAAACACACGAATAAGCCAAAGGTCTTTTCGTCATAATGTATCTTCGGGGCAAAAGTACAGGATACAACACACAACAGAAACTCCAAAGCATCAGAAGCCGCATGAGGTTCCCGAAGGAGTGCGCGAAGGAGCAGGCTCTCCCTCAGACTCAAGAAAAAGGACGAGCTACAGAAGGCGAGATTAATAGCGGAAGCTTGTGCTAGTAGCGTATGGTCTGAGGTGCAAGCCATAACTTTAAGTTTGAAATTTGACACCGGTATTCTTAAAAAAAGCGTGGATGACTTTACCGATTCCAATTTCCTTGCAATCGTGAGTGGATTCCTGTTGCGAGTTGTGCAGTCGCTAGCGGCACAGGTCGTGAGCCTACCAATCCTGTTGCGTATACCGAGGCCCTGCAGGAACTTGGCAATGACTATTTGTGGACGACATCCTCGCCGTGGTGCCGACGAGGACGAACCTACACCTCACCATACAATTCAACTGACAGAAGTGGCGATAATACAATCAACTCACAACTTTTATTAACTTTTTATATATAGTAGCCAAGGTCATCGCACAACCAATTGCTGATATAACTTGACATCTCTCTCTATATATATGAATAGTTCTTCAACAGACGGATAAATAACCGAGATGGATCCATTTCGGATATTTATCCGGCTGAAGAACTCTTGAGGAGTTCGAAACGCTACGATTTCATTTCATTTCTTACATTGCGTTTTCTCCTATTCACCTTTTTGTACAACGTTACTGTGTTACTGTACATATGTATCTTTCTGTATGCCCTGAAGAAGCAAGATGCCGAAAAGGCCTTCGGCATATTTAGCGTTTTCTGTATCGTCCATTCGTTGTTTTATAAACAAACAGTTCAGCACAAATCCTACACAAAAATAAAGCTGTAATGGGTGTCTGGGAAAGCAACATAGGCTCAAGTACAAAATATAACGGAATAATTGGATTGGCCATTACAGACTAACTCACAAACACCATTTTGTGTCTTAAAAAAAAAAAAAAAATGCTTGACAGAAAGGAAAGTTATTTCAGACAACCTAGTTTACCGTAATATGGAACCTTATTAATGGCGAT